TGTCATTCTAGAGCGTGCTTACTCACTTTGATAGTGAAGTAAGTAAACAAAGTATATTTATGTTTCCTTGTACATGATAGTAAACTGCCTCCCCATATATCCATAGAATTAAATTGATTTGACCATTTTCTGAAGAACTTAAATTAAATTGTATGAAAGTTTTGGTATTCTCTCGCCACTCCTACCCCTCACCCAAAGTTCGCCAAAATTCAAAATATTACCTGATCATAAGGAGCATTAGTTACTAACTTAACATATTATTTTGTTACTGAGAAAATCAAAGTCTCTTGCTAACAATCAAACTTATTCATTCAGAAAGTTCAGTAGAGTTGGTAGCAGGAAAAGATTACTATTTTCAATGCTTAGAGTACAAACATTTATATTCCTGAGAAATTTTAGGATCTTTAGAGTTACACTGATAACTGAAAGTAAGTGTAACATGCATAGTTAAAGGCACAGTATTTTCTAGCCATGTCTTTTGGCCGTCTAAATGCATACCAAATTTTTATCACATGTTCATTAATCAGTGTGTTTTGTTATACACTGCGCTAGGCTGCTAAGGGATATTGTCAAAATGAACACTGTGTATAATTTAGAATAAACATAAAAATTAAAATCTAAAGTTAAAAAATGTTCCTTTCATTTTTATAATTATGTAATTTCCTGCTCTAGCAAAATAAGAAAATGTACGTACTTTGACAGCTTGACAAGCGTGTTGATTAGGTACAGTAAGAGTTTATTTGCATCTCATTAAACCATAAATGAGGGAATTTTTCAAAATGTCTTTTTTCTTAGTATGAAATTAATATCTTCAACATTGCTGTGTGCGAACTAGTGCCTAACACATGTACAGAGAAAAATTTATATTGCTCAGAGAGACTATGATTTTTGCCATCTTATCATTCATGTTACAGTAAAAGCTCAATCTTGAAACCTAAACTGATTTTTCAATCCAGAAGTTTAAATAGAATAAAGACAGCTTTTACAAACCAAAAGATTTATAAAATGGCAGCTTCTGCATGTCTTGTTTATGTAAATTTAGAGGCTTTAAAATATTAACTGTTAAAACGTTTCGAATTCTTTGCTTTTGTCACATCTTTGTCCGCAGATGTTACTAATGCCAAAATTTCCTTTTATCTCCCGTGTGTAATAATGGAACCATACGCAGTTTATTCAACTATTGATTATGGTCTTTTGGATTGGACGCTTAGCCTTGTAGCTGGTTACGAACACTTTGAAGAACGTTTCCTTCATCTTCAGGGAGGTGTCATATTCTGGTAATCACCTACAAGACTGCGCTTTGTCACAATCAAGAAACCCCAGTCCACATTTTCATCGCCACGAAAACCTCTTTTATTCAGGTAGTTTGTGAAGTTTTCTTCTCCAGTGCCATATCCTCGTCATATATATATGGTAATAATGAGTAATTGTGATAAACGATGTAACTTCAAATGGTGCTCATAATAGGCTTGTAGATCAATTTCATTACCAGAATATGTTGCAGTGCATTATTATCAGGTAGATGAATATTAGTCAGGGACTTACTATGCAAGTCCTTTTAATTATGGATATAAATAAGGTAATATTACGCAAGTCACTTTATACTTTAGAATTATAAGTTTTAAACTTTTATACGAGTCATAAGTAACCAAGTATTTTGCATTTTTATATAATATTTTATGTTGCCAGTATGCTTTGTTATTTAGTCCCCACTGAATGTAATATTAATGTACAACTGATATTTAAGCTTTAAAAGTTACTTAATTTGATTATTGATGTAATACTTTATTATAGGAGTCATTACATTTTATGTAAAATGCCATTTTATTTCCATTATCTTTATTGTCAAAGGCTGTAAAGCTGCAAGCACTATAATACGAAGGCAATTGAAGATGTGATGAGATTTTATGATAAATTTCAAAAATTGTACAGTAATAAGAATGTGAAAATCCCGTATGTTTTGTAAAATACTCGTGTTTTGACAAATAAAATAGTTTTACATTTTTACATTTTATTTTGATTTTATTATTACTTGTATTCAAACTAATGTGTGTTTTGCATACTTTGACTGTTACCTGTTATTGTTTATAGCTTATTCTGGTTAATGCATTAATTTTATAAACAACTCCACTTCCAGTAGAAATCTCTGCTCTTCCTTTAATGTCAGAGGCCAAGTTTCACACCCATGCAAAACAACAACAAATGTCAAATCTGTAATTAACTAAAATCCGTACAATCAATGGAAAACGAGTCCATCTGGAGGAACACGGTCAACTATTTGATGTTTACGCATAGTTACGAAACAAACTAAAACGATTAAAAGCATACACATGTTCGTAACAGATAAAAAGTTTGCCAAAATTAAGGGTTTAGCAAGCAATGTAGCAATAGCTTCAATTTCGAGGATGCACCGTTCTTTGTTTTACCCACTCGTGGCAATGAGTCACAGAATATGAGCGGGAATCTGAAAGCACGCAAAACAAAAGCTCAAGAAAAAGCATCAGTAAACACAAACGGGAAATAATTTAAAAACTGAAGACAGAAAACTTACACTTTTAGATCATACATGAAAACGGAGAACTTGCACTTACCTGTGTTGTTATTCTTGATTTATCTTGTTACATAGGTTTGAATTTAATGTACAATCCAATACGCAGATCATTGAACGAATACGTATATTTGAGAGTACCACTTGTTAATTGCAGTTGTTCATATGAACTGCAATTCAGTGGCGTTTAAATGTAATTGTGAACCATCTAGTGCGACGAATGAAAACAGAAGAAGCGTAATAAGGTCAAAATGCCGCCTTCAATCGCACAACAAAACGCCGACGGCTTCTTCAATGAAAAGGCAACTGAAATTCAACATGTTGGATCGACGCTCCACTGAACTCGAAAACAAAATGTCTAAAATGCCATACAGTTTATGACGTTCCTCTTTCTTACCTTGATGTTTATGGAAAAATTTATCACAGTTCTGATGAGTTTGTTCAAATGAAAATTTATTATTACCTAAGAAAAGTTTCCGTTTGTATAAAATCGTAAATCCGACGGTAGTTTTTACTGGAACGTGAAACGTAAAATATAAATGTCGCTGATCCGCGTTTGTCGAGAACGTACGACTCGATTACGCGGCTCAGGTAAAACGTTTCTTCAGTATATGTAACGACATTCGATGTTTCTCTAATGCTGAATCTTGAGCTCACTTAATAAATTGTCTTGACACCATAAAACACAAACATGATTATTTCACTTCATAACATTCAATTAGTATTTATGATTTCGGAATAGATTCAGTCAGTCTTCCAACAGTGAAATGAAAGACTGATGAAACCAAAACTGTATTTTGAGTTTGCCCCTGCAATGCGAATTATTCACAAGTAGAGACTGTAAACATTCTTGATGCTAACCTATTTGCCTGTAATTATCAGAACACGAAATTTAATCTTGCAACAGTTAATCTCATATTAATTAATGAACTAACTACACAAATTTACTTCTAACTGTTTGCATGGAAGCTGGTCTAACTGGTAGAGTTACTGCTTAGCCTTGCAATTTTTCATTACCGTTACAAAAAATATGTATGAAATGCACATCTATTGCTTTCGGTGACAAAATATGAATAAAAATGACAACTTTACGACGAGGGCACTAAGTTAATTTACGCAAATCGTATGAATTATAACATATGACGTATGGTCAGAAACAAATTTAACCCCGTCTAACAGTAGCCTTATTGGAAATCGAATGCAAACTTTACATAATACCTTAATCATTGTGTATGATAATTCAGATTGGTTTCAACATTTATGATAATGGCGTAATATAGCTACGACTATTGCAATGGATACTTCATATTAACTAATCAGTTCCTAAATTTGAATTACACAGTTTATGACGAGCAACATATACTATACGAGAGTAAAATCTGGCAAACACGAAGCTATAAACTTCTTAATAAATTGTTCTTGTCCGAATACCTCAAATATTTAACTTTTCTGTCTCGTTGCAAAAAAGTGTTATTGTACAAACAAGAACCAGAACTACCCTGTTTAACCAGAAAACTAACGTAACGTAGGTTATAAACGCTTTGACAATATTTAATTCAAACGATTTCATAAATACCTGCAAATCTAGTTAATACAACTTATAATACTGCATGCTGTTCTACGGCACGAGGCACAACACAATACTGAAATAGAGTTGAACCTTCGTAGACCATGGCACGCAGGCAAGTAAGCACAGGTCTTTCTGCTTCGCGCTGCGACTAGTCGGGCAAGTCTTTAACTTCAAGCTATCCGCATGGTGGCTATGTCAACAGATAAATAATCAGTGGCGGCTCGTCGAAAATTGTTAGATTTGAGGTTTTCACGGCAGCGAAAATAAAGATGGCTGTCTTCTGGGCCGTATTATCTTGCAATCTTGTATTAGTTTACAGACATTTCAGAGGCACTTGCTGCCTCCATCATCAAGACGATGATTGGAAAGGAGTTATGTATGTCATTCAAAAATCGAAATAGCATTACATAACACACAAGTTTCGGGTTTAGAGGATTTACCCCAGATTTTAAATTATGATAGAGATAAAATTATAACATCATTATTAGAGGTTTCAATTGGTCTCATTCTGAGCGAAGAACCGATGTACTTGTTTGAAAATTAAAGCGATGAGACGGTTTTGAGAAACAGGTTTATGCTCTACACTTTAATGGTTAAAGACAAGGACAATGAAGAAATTTAATTGAATCAGAATGCAAAATACTCAGGAAAATGTTTTAAAACTTAACGAGGTCTAGTGGTTAGTATTCTGAAAGTCCCGGGTTCAGTTCTACGACTAGATACCGGTTATTCTGATATGTTTCGTCGTTTACCTCGATATTTCCAGCAAAAATTTCGGGAAAGTATCACGGCTACTTCCTTTTACATCTGTTCTAATTCATTATTCATTTGTAATTTAACATTAATGATCTTCGCATTTGAAAGCTTCGTTAAATATACCAAGAACAAACAAACAAACACGGAAGAGCTGGAATACTTGGAAAATTAAGGCAGTGCTGTTGCCCAGTAAGCCTACTGTTAGATTATTGTAGGAGAGGTTTCAATGAACTGGGCATGGTCTAAGGCAGTGGTGTTCAACCTGGGGTACGCGTACCCCCGGGGGTACGCGAGGACATATTAGGGGGTACGTGAAATTTAAAAAAAATATATATTATTTTATGATAAACACTGAATAATCAGTAATGTAATGTATTTAAGATGTAGATTATATACTATGTATAACTTGAATTATACACCAACAACTTCGGGGGTACAAAGTTGAAGAGAAATTATATCTGGGGGTACGTGAACAAAAAAGGTTGAATACCACTGGTCTAAGGAATCAGCTGTCAATACGGTCTCAGACAGAACCAAGTGACTCCACAGAGAGGACTAATGAATCATGAGATTGTGGTAACCCTGTTCTTGAACAGCATAACCTTTAATCACAATTTTAATAAATGATTGATCTGTATACTGTTACAGGCTTTTATTTTATAAACAACACAGTTTTATAAGATCAGTATTCCAAAAATTGTCAAATTCTCTTTGAGTGGAATGTATCTAATTAATAATTTAAACAGGGAGTTATAATTTCTATTTACATAGTTCATTTGTAATTTCCTTTAGCCAGGAAAATTGTTTTTGCCTTCAAATAGCCAGATATGTTGATGAGTACTTCACTCTATTTAAATTTGAGTATAATAAGAGAGATATACTTAACATCTTAGCAATTCCAATCCAATATAATGACTTCTAATTCACTTTCATACCATTTTTGACCAGGTATACTGAAAAGTGGATCACATATCCAAAAAACCTGCATGGCATATTTAACGATTGCAATGTTGCATTCAAAAAAAGAATTAATATCCATGCATGTTACGTACCTAAGCAGAACAGTTTCAAAACTGTTAGTCGCTTACATTGTTCTAAGGTTTGCTTTTCTTGGTTTTTATCGAGGGGGAAACCTTCTGCGGGACGAAAACCCCCTCCAAAATATTAAAAAATAAATTGGCCAATTACTTTGTTGGAGAAGCCAAATATTATTACAAGCTGATACTGAAAATAATCCACGATTGTTTCTTATATGCAACATTTACTGTGTTGGGTTAGCACGATGTAGAAATCGCACCAGCACGGCCATCTTGCCCAACTCGCATACAGAAATCTCACTTTAGATCTTATATATAGAATTCTTAAGTTAAACACATCGAACATAGTTACAATGTGACTTTTCTGGGTAACGCAAAAGTTTCATTTGCTTACGATAAAAACAAATGGCTTAAAGTATTAAGACGGTGTTAGATAATGGTTTGCAATCACACTGCAGAGCAGATAACCGACGTTTAATAAACTACAGGGCACAAAATCAAAGCATTTCAAACTTTTAGAGACAAAATAAACTACACACTGTGACATTTCCTCCGTGCCAGATGGAACTTCGTCCGTCAGTAATAGTTAATATTTCCTCCATATCTGGTCAATTAATTGTAAAAGCTATGATAATTAAACTGGATTTAAAGATAATAAAAAGTTAACATAACAATTATATCCAAAATATTCAGCGTAAACAAATGAGAAGTTACGGCACGCATGCACAAATTAAAATTTATGAAGCCGAAGTAATCAAAAGCTGTAAATATGATGCGTGCATTTTCATACAAGGAAAATTAGCTGATTCACAACTCTATAAACTGGCAAATACAATTTTTAAGTATGTGATATCCAAGCGGACATCTTTGTTCCAACCTGTAATGTTTCATCTGAAACATGCATTACTGTACATACCATTAATGAACATCAAATCTTGTGGTTACATTACCACAAACTTTTAGGAAAAGTGGAGAGAGATAAATATTTATTGAGATTTCAACCCCTAGTCTGCTCATCCAAAAATATTCATTCTTGTCCAATTAGTGCTCAAATTAGTAACAATTGTTCAAATTTAAATGCACTATGCTACTTTGACTTTTGTCAAAACATTCTTTCACACCTGTAAATGTACTACGATTTCAGAGACACGATACATGAAGAGAATTTACAGAACAGTTTAGACATTATGTACAATGATAAAATGGACCAAACGAGCAGAAAGGAGACGAGACTTCTGCACAGACACTGTCAGGAACCACATTTAAACAACACATACACTTGGTATTTCAACCGTAATCATACAATTTCTTTTGGCAACTGTTTAAAAATATGATTCAAGCCAGTAATTCCCAAAATCTGGTCTTTAATTTAGTTTTCAGATTTTCTTTCTGCCACACAGTGACTAAATAGAAGCGAAGACAAATAACTTTCTGGAGCATAACATCAGGCAGTTATTCAGTATTTAGTCTTTACTACTTAGTATGTTGCAGAAAGCTCATACAGCTTATATAATGTTGATTCAGAGTTAAAGGCAAAGCATAACCACTTCTGACAATACAGGAAAAGAATGTTTGTGCACGTGTCAAATAACAAACCAAAACAGAGATTGTGAGGAGGAAATCTGTTAGCACTTAACACAATTTTATTCTGTTTACGAGAAAATGGTCAAACTACCTTGAAACTGAAACCTAAAGACCATGCCTTCTTGTGTAAACCTATTCCTTATTCTTCTTCCTTGACATTAACTGGATGCTATCAAGCACGTTCAAAGTTCAGAAGATAAAAATTTTATTCAATATTTCTACAAATTTGCAATATATAAAAATGTACAAATATTTTATACTGGGTGCATTTTCACAGAAACAAAATTCTAAGCAAAATAAATAGATGCCATACTTTTTGGCACAACAAAACTTTAAAAGCTGACGATACAATAGTAGCACAAAAGAGACAAAGTGTGTCTCAATATGAAAATATTATTTCAGGGGTGGCATGGTGGGGGAACAATGTTTTCCTTTCCTTCACTACACAGGCATATGTACATGAAGACACATTTTGGGTCATTATTTAGTGCAAATGTTCAAAATTTTGTCTTAAAAAATAATTTTCCAACAAAAAAGTTCACTTTTGGGAATTACTGTCAAGAATCAAAATGCAACATTTCAAACACAATTCATGGCACTTGGACAGGTAACAACATCAACTGAGAGAAGTATAAAGATATTCATAAAAATTTATGAAGCTAATCCTCTGCATAAGTAATAATAGGATAATTAATCTGTGAACATAGTACAAATATAATAAACATCATTATGTATTAATGTATATTATATATTTAGCAAATGGAATTATGTTGTCTCCAACAAGTGAGAAGGTACTTTATACACTTTTGTTTCATCAAATTCATGCACTGAAATTTATAAGGGGGCAAAATACATCCAGGATGAAAATTACATTGTCTAAATATTTTTCCAAGCTGTATTTTAGCAAATCTTCTTTGCATTAAGGACATATACATCATACAAACTGCAATTATATGTCTAACAATCTTTTCTAAAACCTGAAATAACAGTAAGATTAGTTAAATTCTCTGTAATTTTCACTGCTGCAATTAATTTTTGATCTTTAATCAAATCTGTACTAATGGTCAAACAGAATACAAAGCAATCATGCCTGAATACAGCTTAAAGAAAATGCTGGAATTATTTATTAAATGTGGTCATGAAAATTTGTGCAATTACAATTCAAAGGGAACAGCAGTAAATCACACAAAATATAATATCATTTTAGCATATGATCACATTACATATGCAATTGAGAAGAGGGCATCAATTACTCATAAAAGGGGTCTCAAATTGAGGCTATTTCCATGAATTTGCATTGTCCAATCACCACATATGACAAAATAAAAATTTAATATTTCATTATAGCATATGTACAAGCATTTACAATTTGAACTATGAACTTGTTTCTTGGTGAAGGTCATTCAAATAAGAATTACTATAGCATATATAAATGATTTCTCACTCAAGACTAAAGGTGGTAAAATTACAAACTTTCAAGGCATTTTAACTCCTTTCAAAAGTGTAATATGCTATTACCATGACACCAATATCCTTCAGGTTTTAATTTATTTTACGAGTATAACAACTGTATTTAAAAACACCCATTAAACACAGATTTCTAAAAAAAGCATAAAGTTTCTTGAAAAGTTATAAAGCCTGTAACTTATACTTTTTCTTTTTAGACCAAAATTCAGGATATTTGATAAACCTTTAATTTCTATTAATATTATGCAGCATTCATAATTTGCTGTAAGAATGTCAGTACTTCTTCAATTACATTTTCCAAAAACTCTGAACAGTTTACCTCTTCATTTAATTAACAAATGATGATGCAATGTCCTATATTGTTCCCATATGTTAACTCAGTCCATGCTTTTTCAAGAGGAAGTAACAAGGTGAGGAATAACAGAAGTATAATGAAGAGTTGGACATCCAATTGGAGGCATCGAGGATGAGCCGAAGTGCAATCATTCAAGTTAAATGTAATGACGGAAAGAGAGGATATAAGGCTAGGGTGAGAAGGCAAATAATAATTCCCCATAAACTGATAAGTGTAGATAAAAAAATAAATAAAAATATATCAGCCACATGCTACATTGTGGGAGGGGGGGAAACTGCCTATATGTACTCAGAAATATTTATTAAAAAAATCATGGGGTAAACTATACACCTGGAACCTGTAAATTCATAAAGAAAACCTCAAAAAATGAATTAATTGTGGTCCAATATAAAGAATTAAAATCTAAAGAAATAGCTTCATTGAAATTAAATTATAATAAAGTGATTTTGGAGCTGCTTCCTTGAAGATCTGCAAGACAATGTTTCTACAATCTGAATCAATACCATAATGACAATTTACCAGCAAAGATAAATGATCAATTATGAGTTTTAAAAGAAAATATATAAACAAAACTAGTAACATTCATATCCAAAATTATCAACAGAAAAAAATTATTTAAGGACCTAAAAATGAATTTAAATATCTCAAAACATTCACAGATATATCGTATTCTTTCCGGAAAAATTGGACACATACCGAAGCGATGGACTTATCCATCCACAGGCACAAATTCTCTTATCAAATTCACAGAACTGCAGGAAAGAAAGTTATTAGAACCCTTCACTAATAAACATGCAAGGAAAAAAGAAAAAGACCGTCTACTGGGATGTTGCACCATGTAGTCTAGTATATGACTGACATTTCAGAGCAACTTGCTACCTCCAGCATCACCCTGATAATGGGAACAGCCAGATCTTCTAAAATGTTGATCTACATCTATTAGATTTGAAGTGACTAAACTCAATAAAATCTTCTCGGGCAATCAACTACGTCAAATGGTTATACGAAGAGACCAACCTTTCAGGAACCATCTGTCCCAATTATCAGCGTTCTGATGTGACTGGACACCACACTCATCTCATCTCGCCACATCAGAACCCTGATGATGGTGACACATTGTTCATGAAATGTTGGTCTCTTCGTGTAACCATTCAACACAGCTGATTGCCTGAGAAGATTTTATTGAACATCTATGAGACTACATAGTGCAACATCCCAGAAGACAGTCATCTTCATACCTGTTGTCATGAAAACCTGAAATCTCAATAAATAAAATGCATGATTTGGGAATGTGTATTATACAGAGATCTGGACAGGATGAAAATTCAGAATTTGACCTGGCTCAGCCTGAGGAGCATTTTACCCTAGCCCAAAATTTATCTTCAAGCACCTACACCACACTTAAGCCAAAACTTCTTTTTATTCCGAATAAAGCCCAATCTATTAACAATCTGCCCTGAATATCATATCATTAATACATATTTATTTTAATGCATAAATGCTAGTTTTACTTGAATGAATTATTTAACGATGATCTAAGAACATCTGAGGTTATTTTGGCATTTGAGAAATGGTACAAAGAAATAATATGCCAAGCTTGTAAGGTGTTATCTCAAACTATTTCTGGCAGCTGCAAAAATCCCTGAGAAAATGAAGTCTGTTTTTTCTTTCCAGAGCCCAACAGTGTCATGATCACAAGACAAGCACAACTACAAATAAAATTCTCTTTGTAAAAAAGAATGGCCTGAGAAAGCCTTAAATATTCTGTATAATGTTTGATTGATATAAACCAAACCCAGCCCAGACCCAAACATTATCTGTGCTACCAGGCCAAGGCCTGTGCAGACCTCCATCCCATAATATGAAATCCATGTCATGTGCCATAAAGTGTAATAAAAATAGCTACACACAGCTATAACTAATGAAAATGATTCTCTCACAAACAAACACATATATATACATATACACATACATTACTGAACAGATGCTTCAACTGTGAACTACTACTGTTCATTCAGATATAAAACACTAACAGCCCCTATCCCTTTTTTTACTGGAATATCTGTGTATAAGTTACATAACACATACAGAAATGTTTCTCATCATATTTACAGTTGTTATAATCAGTAATTATGTTAATTACGGCATCTGAAATGAGCATGTATTATCCAAAGGTCCAGTGATGTTTCGTCGCAAAATGGATATCAAGAGGTGACAAGATATAAGGTGACAGATTTTATATATTTTTAGGTCATATTCTTCTGCATTCTGCACAGTTTACCTTATATTGCTTTTTGTTGGTACATGCAGCTTTAGAAATTAAATTAATTGAAAGAAAATATTTTAATGTCTGCAAAGCAACTGCTATGCTGATTTGACAATGCAGCCTGCATTTCATTACTAGAATTCTGTCAAATATTTTAAACAAATAAACAGAGAAAAAATGATGTCATGATTACAACTGGATTAGAGAAACGCATGTGCTAAATTCAACAGAATTAGAACTAACAGTTTAAGAAAAGTTCAGAAATTTTGTTTCTGTTCCTGCTATTTGATACTGTTCCTTACTAAGTCCGCAGTTACCATAAAAATATTGATACTTATTCCTCATCACTGGACCCTTGCTCTAATACATACCAGTAATTTTCTCAAAGTCTATTTCCATAAATCTCTGTTCTTGAAATCTTTTATTCCATCTCAAATGATTCTTCAGAATAAAACATTTTCATGGTTCTGCATTTAATTTCTGAATTACAATGCGGCTACCGTTTGACACACCTACCACTCATATTGACAACTAACTTCCTGCTCAATGTAAAACTGAATGAAATTAAATGCAATTTTTTTACAGTGATACATATTCACAAGAGTTTAAATAATGAAAACTGAAAATATGTACATATAGTAATATTCTATAATTGACAAAGATCTGATACCACACTACATATTTACTATATATAAACTTTTTACCAATACTCCAATCTGTCTCTTCTCTTCCTTACAATAAAGATATAAAAAAGACATGACCCCACTCAGTCATCATTCTTTGAATCCAAGCACTGGTCCAAATTTTATGACAAAATATTGGGACTAACGAGTTCAATTGTTTTTTTAGTTTGAAATTAATTAATCTACTTCCATACATTTAATAATGTAGTGATGTACTGAATGTTACAAATAAAGAGCATGCCATCCTTACTTATAAGACTCTATTTAACTTAGAACAGAAACTCAAATTTTGGTGCAATCTAAATTAACACAGATGCCTAACTTCAAACACACTTTTCTTATTCATGAGAACAAGGGGTTGATCTTAAAAAGTTTTTAAATTATTTTTCTATATTACAAACTTAAGAGAGAATAAAAAGACTTATTTACAAAATCTTAAACATATGTGTTCCTGCATGTTTGATGGGGAAAGGATTCATTATGATAAACATTCCACTTTATACAACCTGTATGGCAGCGTATCATTAGATACTTAGGAGAAATTTAAGGAACTATGAAATAATGAACATGTTTTAATTTAAGTATGAAATGGAAAAATATCAGATACAGAAGAATCAATCACAAACCTAAATTAGGACGTATAATTCTAGTTAAAATCAAAATAAGATTCCTACCACATATGTATCAGTAGTAGTACCAATGCTTTATTCTGAAAGATGCCATAAACACTAATGTTCAAACTGGGAATTGTCTTGTTCATGAAGAGCTTTTATTCAACTAAAAACAACC